AGTCCAATCTCTTCTACCAACACAATTCTTTAAACACGCAGTTCCTCAAAATGCTCTCTCTCAATAACAGATCTTCAGAACCACCTAGTCACCTACCCAACAGAGCCCAGCCAGTTAAATATTTTTCTCAATTTTAATGGCTTATAAAAGTAGACTAAATTAGCTATGTGTACACGTGATCATGCAAATACTATCCTTTAATTTTTTAAGAAGAAACAAACAAACCGCAAACACTGTCCATTTCACATCTTGGTCAAATAAAAATAAAAGCAAATTTCCAGGCAACCATGGAAAGAGCCAGCCATCTCAAATACTTTAAGTTCTCAAAGGATTAGAAAAAGAGAAAACTCATAATGACCACCCAAGCTTTTGCAATATTGTATTCTTGAAACAAAAACAATTCAACTGGCGTGTTTAACTTCATAACAGAAAAATCAAATCACAATACCATTCATCCTATTCATTGCTTCTTATAATTGAAACCACAACAAAACCAAAAACAGAAAAGAATCAGCAACAATCACTCACTGACGTTTTCATGATCCATGTGTCGAAGCAACTTGATCTCACGAAGAGTCCTCTTTGCATCAATCTTATTATCAAATGCATTTGCTATCTTCTTTATAGCCACATGTTCATTTGTCTCCGAATTCAATGCCGAACTAGTAAACAACCAACAGAAATGTTACTCAATAAGAAAAGAAAAGGAAAACAGTACAAACTCCATCATCACATATAAAACTCAAACCCGCCAAAGAACAAGAAAACATACCATCCCACAAGAAAAACTACATGTATACACACACTTAACACAGCCAACCTTTCACCAAGCCATTTCAATTCTAGCTGACAAAACACCTTAACCTACTCAACAAAAATTCAATCTTCATTTCTTCATTTTTCATTTATCTTTAAAGAAATGGCCAAAAATTCCCATACATACGAGAGTAACTTCCACCAAACTACCTGTTTCTAAAAGCTGCTACATAATAAATCAATTTGATCACTTTTTTCCTTAAAAAATATTTTTTTTTATTCTTCTTAGCTGATATTTAAACAAATTTCCACACATTTATCTTATCTTCACCATGTAACAGCTCCAAATAACCTAATAAAAAATCCATATCCACCAACATAAAAATATAAAGTTTCAATACAAAATAAAAACCCACAACACAGCCTTCACAAATCTTCAAAATTCACATGAAAACCACACAAATAAATCAAAAAACAAACCCACGTGCTAAAAATAGACTCTTAAACAACACTGAGACTGAGAAAAGTGAGTGAGAGAGAGTACCAAACGATGCCGTATGCGCCCTTCCCGATGGGCATAATAGGCGGCTTATACTTAGCAGTAACCACAAACATGTTCCCAAATATGTTATACTCAATAAAGCGTCCACCGTGGCTCAACGTAGCCGGGATGTTCTCGATCCCTGCCGCCTGAGGAGCCGCAGGTGGCTGCTGAGGTTCCGGTAGCGCCTCTGCCATCTCCGTATCCGCCGGCAGGGCCGCACCACCTCCGTCTCCCTCCATTTCGTCGTTGTTGTTGGAGTTTTGTTTCTGTTTTTCTGTTTTTAATTTCTTTATTGTTTTTTATTTTTTGTTTTCGTAGTCGTCAGTTTTGTGTTTTCGGGTCAAAAGAGATCTAAAGCTCTCTGGTTTATGTCAAATAATCAATGTTTTCTGGAGCAAAAACGCTGCGTTTTGACCTTCTACTACTGTTTGTGGGCCATTCTTACCCGGTTACAATTTACAAACGACACAGTTTTTGGTACATTATACGTCATTCATACGTCACGAAAAATAAAAGAGAAAATAATGTATATGTCATTAATATTAAATAAATTATTTTAAAAAAATTTAATTATATAATTACATTAGTTAAGATTTGATGAGTGAAAATATATTATGTCCATAACATTAAATTTTGAGAATATATCCGTATAATTGAAAAAAAAAAATTAAGACGGACGAAGCTCGTTTTATTTGTATTAAAACTAATTAGAAGTTTTTTCTTGGCGTTAAAACAACAAAAATTCCTGTACTGTTAGTAAGTCATGAATATACCGTTAAAATTTATAATATCACGAGTTAATAAATATTTACTTAATCACTCCTTTACCTTTTTTTTTTAACACAATAAAAATAAGGGCTAACGACTTGTACATACCCAAAGTTTACCGTAATGACAAGTTGATACCCAAAAGGTTTTGAAACGACAAATAGGTACCTTCCGTCATATTCTGTTAGTGATTTTTGTTTATTAATAGTGAAAAGACTCAAATGCCCTTCAAAGTTTCAATTTTTGTTTTTTATAAATTTAAAAATATCTAAAAAACCCCCTAGGTTTGCTAATTTAATTAAACACCCCCATATATAAAATGTTTGTTAAATGACAAAAACACCCCCACCACCCTCAGTGCCAGATTCCGGCCACCATCGCCGGAATCTGGCCGGAAAACTGTATTACGACACAGATCCGTCGGATCTGTGNCGCCACCTCCGTCTCCCTCCATTTCGTCGTTGTTGTTGGAGTTTTGTTTCTGTTTTTCTGTTTTTAATTTCTTTATTGTTTTTTATTTTTTGTTTTCGTAGTCGTCAGTTTTGTGTTTTCGGGTCAAAAGAGATCTAAAGCTCTCTGGTTTATGTCAAATAATCAATGTTTTCTGGAGCAAAAACGCTGCGTTTTGACCTTCTACTACTGTTTGTGGGCCATGCTTACCCGGTTACAAACGACACAGTTTTTGGTACATTATACGTCATTCATACGTCACGACAAATAAAAGAGAAAATAGTGTATACGTCATTAATATTTAATAAATTATTTAAAAAAATTTAATTATATAATTACATTATTTAAGATTTGATGAGTGAAAATATATTATGTCCATAACATTAAATTTTGAGAATATATCTGTATAATTTAAAAAAAAAATTAAGACGGATGAAGGTCGTTTTATTTGTATTAAAACAAATTAGAAGTTTTTCTTAGCGTTAAAATAACAAAAATTCATTTATTGCTAGTGAGTCATGAATATATCATTAAAATTTATAAAATCACGAGTTAATAAATATTTACTTAATCACACCTTTACCTTTTTTTTAACACAAAAAAAATAAGGATAAGGGATTTTTATTATTTCTATAATCACAATGAAATTTTTGTCATTTGATTATACTTAAGGGGGGTTTATATAATTAACCATAATAAAATATTATTCACTTTTAAATCTTCACACAAAATCATTCTTAGGGGTTATAAAAGAGTTTTTCACAACCCCCTAAGGTTTAAACAATAACAAAAATCCCCTATTTTAGTATTTTTAGTTAGCCGTTACTGAACCATTAGAATTTATAACACGGTAACTACCTCTTTACCCTTTTTTTTAACACAAAAGAAATAACGATAAAGGGACTTTTATTATTTCTATAACCACAATAAAAATTTTTGTCATTTGATTATACTTAAGGGGGATTATTGTTATTAACCATATATAAAATATTATTCACTTTTAGATCTTTAACAGCTCACACAAAATCATTTTTTACTTTATTAATTTTGGTACCTACCAAACTTTGGAATATATTTATTCAAGCCTTTAGAATACTTTGATTTCCATCATATCATTAAATTCTCTTACTTTATTGTTATTATATTATATCATTAAATTAAGTTTTAGTGGGCAATTCATCTTTTTACTATTTATTTTCAATTATTTAACTACCTCATTAAATAATGTCTCAATAATTGGCTTTTACATTCTTTAATATACCCCTCATCTACTTTTTATTTACATTTACATCATGTCTTTAATAATAAATACTTCAATTATTTCAAAATCAATAACTACGTACATATCAAAACATATATAGTAAATTCAATAAATTATACTTTTATAAAATATGCAGGTTTTATTTAAAGGAAAAATTTAGACAAAAAATCCAATAACTTACCAATTATACCCGTAATGCAAACAACAATTGATATATTCTTAATATATAACGCAAGACTATACTAGATAGATTCGATAGTCTAATTTGAATCTAACATTTAATAGTATGGTTTAATAATCTAATTAAGGTATGCTAAATCATCCTAGATTGTATTAGACTTGGTAAGCTAGTGAATTTCGATTATTTTTATTGTTGTTATTTTCATTAAAGACGATTAAATTAAGTCATGTGATTTTATGACTAAATCTATCAAACAAAACCTTGACATTCTGAGAATTGAGATCAATAAAAATAGCTATACTTGGGATTTGGGAATACATCTTCATTTTAGTAATGCATACTGCAATCCTTGACTTCCAGTCCGTGTATTGAATGTGCTAAATTGTATTGAATGTTAATCATTCAGAATGTTTTGAAGTATCATGTTACAATATTTCAAGCTTGTTCGACACCACTAGGGTGTCAGTGCAAGCGGCTCGGGCTCGGCTCGAAGAAAGCTTGAGCTCGCCTTTTCTGTGTTGAGCTCAAGCTCGACACTGTAGCAACCAAGCCGAGCTCGAGCAAGCCAAAACTCGGTTTGGTTTGGCTTGGCTTGGCTCGTCTCGTTTACACCCCTAGATACCACAGATGAGGGCATAACCGTATAAGGATTACAATATTTCAAGCTTGCTGGAATCCATGGATGAGGATATAAGGAAGACAATATTTCAAGCTTATTCAAGTCCACGATGAATAAGGATTACAATATTTCAAGTTTGTTCTAGTCCACAGATTAGGGAATAAGACGAAGGCTGGAAATAAGTTTTCTAGACACAGGAATAATTTTTTTTTTTTTTTTTTTCATAGAGAATATCATGAACCAAACTTAATCCACCCTTTAAAATTCCAGTCAGTTTGATGAAAATTCGTCTGTATATCAAACAAAACTTGTAATATTGAACATCAAATTCGACAATATATGAATTGCAATATTAAAAATCATACCTATAACATGACAAGAGACTTCTGATAGATCATAAATCTAACATTTGGTACCAATATCAACCAATATTGAAGGATAGCCTTCAAGAGTTTATTTTCCAATTATTATTCAAATATTGCTCATAGAAGGTTTAATTGTTCAATACAACAAAAATTTATGTGAGTTTCCGAAATTGAATCAAGATGTTACCATTTAAATGTAAAAGGATGGTTGGTCGGAATACCGATGTTCTCAAACTCCATCCTGAGTTTTTGTCTCACACCGCTTTCAAGTACCAATACTCATTGATTCTAGAAAATTTCACGCGGTTGGGAACAAGAATTCACTCATGCATTCCTGAAAATCAATAACCATTGAGATTTAACAATGATTTTAACCATCATCTCAAAGTCGAAGAAGTAAAGCTAAACATGAAAATAAGAATTTGAGAGACAACGAAATCTTGAGTTTATGGTAGACATCAACTGATATTTACTACTAACAAGCAAGTTCGAAAACATGGCAACACTTAAAACGGTAGAAACGGTTAAAAGAGTGCTTACCATGATAAGATTTTACCATATAAATGCTGGTAACACGTATGATGGATATGCATCATATTTCGATGCAAGAGTTTGGACAGAAGATAAATCTGCAACTTCTCCAAAACCGTTGAGTCCGAGTTCATTTGCATGGATCCCTCCAGTGGTAAATACTGACTGGATTCCAGCTGCATTGGCTCCCTTAATATCATGGTGAAGAGAATCACCCACGGCAATAGAATCAGAAGCATCCACACCAACCATGTTCATTGCTGATTTATATATTATCTGATGAAATATTAGAAAAGCGTAAAAGGAAAGTCAACCGCACGCATAGGATGATATACATCCACAAATATAAAGAACTAGACAATTTTACTAATAAGAACAACAAGAATTAAGAGATCAAGTGACCTTATCAGGTTTGCCCATCCATCTCACTTCACCTCCAAGCTTTTCATATTTGGATGCCAAAGTACCTAGGAGGATCGACAAAGTTCACATCTCAAATGGTAAAACGAGGAAAATCAAAACTTTCAATGTGTGTATATAGAGAAACTTCAGATTCAGTGCAACGGGCTAGAAGATGAACAGAATCACCGGCAACAGGTATGAAAATGTCACAACAGAGTCAAAGCTGCCATCACAGAGCAAGGTATTTTCCTTTCACAATGTTGAGGTGTACTGGAGAGTGGAATTTACCAGGCATAACACGCAGAGCCCTAGCCTCAACAGTAACATAATCTGGATTGGCTACAATCATTGGGATTTTCTTAGCTGCACAAAGCTCCAATATTTTTTCAAGATCCTCAAGACCAGTAGGACGTGCCTCTCCAGAAGGAAGCCCCAACGCTTCACTACCATGGGCCAAAATAAACTCAGCTTCTTCTACATTCTCTACGACTTGTAGGCCTAGCCCCTACAGCAAGAGATGTTCGAGATATTTATGAGTATATTCAAATTACTATTAAGTAGTTATACAAAAAATTACGGCAACCCAAATTCAGAATTTTGTTCAATTAGAATGAAGTGAATAAAACAGGAGAGACCATATTACAATGCTACAATGGGTATTTTTGAATTATAAACGAGTAGAACACCTAAAAACATTGAGACACTCTCTAATTCGGCACATTCTTAACACCCAGATCATGGTTTGCCTATTTCCAACAGGGAACAATTTTACTTCACCCTCAGGACTTAGATTTTCAAGCCTCAGGTCATTGCAAAATGTTCGTCCTTGAGCCCAGGATTTATATTAACAACCTTTCTAAAATGAATGCTCCTCAATTTCTTTAATTTCAGGTAGCTTACATTAATCAAAAAGGAAAATAGAGAATCTTAGGTAGTTACAAGATATTGGATTTAAACGAAGCAAAAAAAGAATTAGAAGAAAATAGTTGGCATACCTCAAGGGATATAGCACCCCGCTCACTCCAAGTCATGTGAATGCAAGACCTTCCGACTGCTGCAAACCACACATCATCTCTCCTATTTATAAAATAATAACAAAAAAAAATAAAAAATGAGATGTACTATGCAACTCTGAACTATGAATTTACAAAAGAGTAAAAATGGATGTTGGTCATCCAGAGGATAAAATGTGACTGGAAACAATAAGCTGAAATGACTTCTATTAGAAATGAAAAGATAAGGAACACAGAATGATGATAAGACCGGAGAGTAGAATATATGTGAAAAGGTGGGAGAAGAAAAACAGTCTGTTGACGAGCACAAGTTATGGACTAGATGAGTCACCAACAATGGTTCAACAATTCAAAAACTTGACGCCATCATATGCACCACCAAGAAGGGTAATATAAAGTACATGCTACAGAAAAGAAATGAATATGATGAATTAAGAGTTGACACAAAATCAAAATACATGTAGGAGAATTAGTCCCCAAAACAGTACAAAACATTGATTCATGTTGAGAATAAATGAATTCTTTGTCTTTAACCTTAGAAAATGCAATGCCCAACCTTTGTAAGTACTGATGTGTTAATTCTCCACTAGTAATTGCTCCAGCAAAGAGAGAGGTATCAAATCCAAGGCTCTTCATCTTTTCCATCGTTGTTGAAGCACGCCGTGAAGAATTACTTATGATCACCATTTTTGCACCAGTGGTTGCTAGCTTTTCTACTGTCACCCAAAAAGAGAAATTCAAAATACTACACTACCATATCATTTATATTAGTCAAGATATCCAACCAAAATATTAAGCTAAATGTGACAAGGTCCGATATACAAAATACATTGACATTCCCCATCATGTACACATCCAAAGCTTATTACCAAACATACAACCAGAAATAGACAAGCTCTATCACCACCAATAAAACACAACACAAGAATTTAGGCTGTCCAACTAGTATAAGTATCCATACAAAATAAAACTACGTATACAAGCTAACCTCAACAAACTGATGTCACATAATGTGACTGGACTTAACAACAAAGCTAAAAAAATTGATGTGTCACTACTGCATGTATGAACAAATTTGTACAAAAAGTCTATATGTAGAAATTGCACACACTACATATACAAAGCAATTTATATAAACAGACGTAACATGATGTAATCAGGATAAAACATAACAATGAAGCTAATAAATTTTGGTGTGCCACTACCTGATTGTCACATCTATTTATATATGTAGAAATACTCTTTATAAATTCGACATCGACCTTAAAAGAACAACACTCAAATGGCTAAAACTCACATATGAAAACATACATGTAGAAATTGCACCAGGATAAGGCTTTTTTCCATCATGGAGGACCCCAAATTGATCCAAGAACCATGCCTGCACACACAAACATCACAAACAACATAACTAAGCAAACACCAATGAAAACAATGATATTCACATCAAATATTGTATACAATAACTTTCAAAAATTTGCATTTAACACACTCTGAAGTTTGGCCTAACTCAGATTACATTCTTCAGTTACAAAAACAAAGCTTGCTCCTTGAATTCAGAAACTTCTCAAATATTCTCTCAAAATTATAAATTTAAAGTTAAAGTCGGCGAACTTTATCTAACATTTCACCCAAAAATAAAAAATTAAAAAAATTGCAGAAACTAATATACCCATTTGTTTGGAAGGAAAATATTTAAAATTTTCCAGAGAAAATTGAATTGGGGAAGTGGGGTTACCTTGAAACGGCGCGTTTCAGCGAGGTGGCGAAGCCCATCGAGGCTCTGGCAGAGGTGGGGATCAGTAGATTGAAGAGAGCATTTTGCCATCATTTCGTTTTAGAAAACGAAAATGTTTTGAGAGTTTTTGTTTTTCCTTTTTTCTTTGTTTTTGCTTTTGTTTCTGATGACTTTTGTAACTGAAATTGGGTTTTGAATTCTGAAGTGATCCAGCTGCCAGAGGATCAAGTAAGTAGTACTGTAGGAAAGGAGTGAAACAAATTGGGTTGGATTAAAAAAAAAAAAACCATGAGGTCCTTTTAGAAATAATTCATTTCAAAAAAGATTTAAAAGACCAAAATACCCTTTTATAACATCATCTCCACCGTTAAAAAGCAATGTTTCGAAAACCGGACCAGACTATGACCCGTTCAAGGGTCCAGTTTCCAGTTTGACCTATTGGATCAGTCGGTTGGACCGTATTCTATAAAAAAAATTTAGTCCCTAAATGTTTGAAATTCATTAAAAACACTCCTTAATACTCCCTTAAGGTTTGAAATCTGTTCAAAACACCCCTATCGCGCGAAGAGGCTGGTGATGGTGGTGGCAACGACGATCGACAGCCAATCGAGGTTTGGAATCATGGGGCTTTTGATGTATAGGTGCTGACGAATCTAATGGTGGTACTAGGGAGTTCCATCGGCTCCGAAACTCGCCGGAATCAAGAAAGAAGTCCGACGGTCGCGTGAACTTTAGGTGGACGGCGAGCGATGAAGGCTAGATGACGGCCACTAAAAATGGCTGGGTTTTATCGTGGAGATGCTGTCAAGTCTAATGGTGGTGTTTTCTCCCTCGAACAATGTCGGAATCCGGTGAGATTGAGCTGCGATTGGACTGCGATTCAGCACTATTCCGATGGTCGAACCGCGGTTCATTCCAGTTTGAATGAAAATAGCGATTTTCAGAGGATACGAGACCGGATATGCCACTGGCTACCGGTTGAACCGGTCTGACCAGACGGTCTGGTCCAGTTTTCAGAACATTGGTTAAAAGTACGCATGGTTAACACTCACTACAGTATAGAGTGGCGGAACTACGCTCAGGCCGGGGTGGCCAACAGAATTTTATAAAACTTATAAGAAAATTTTAGTTACTATAAATTCAATATTTTCCTTTTGGCCCCAAAAATGTAACCTACTCCTCCGACCCCCTCATTCATTGAACATTACAATATAACCCTCCTAGAATAAATTTCCTGGTTATCGAGTGTGTAAAGTGTTTTTAAGCATTCCTCCTGTTACCATCGTGTTCGACACAATAGATGCACTAAACAGTCTATTACAGTTCCATAATATTTTCATTTGAATGCATCAAAATTAACTAAAGATGCATTTTCATAAGTTAATAACATTACCAATTCAATAACGTCAAGATGTCAATCAAATATCTGTAAACTCTTCAAATACAAATTTGGATTGACACTAGTCAAATACAAAATCATATGTATAATAATATTTGTGCAAAATAAATGGGAAGTTTCTCAAATATGAAGTCAATTTCAAGTCTAAAGAGAGGACTACTCAGAAGGCTCATTTACAATTTCCTTTGCAGGCTCATTTACTATTTCTTTTACAGGCTCCTTTTGTGGCTCCTTTGCAGGCTCATTTAGAGGTTTTCCTTTCTCTCTTAGTTTGGCAATAGATTGTTTCATGGCCTCCTTCCTCTTCTTGCTAGCTAGTACTTTGGCTTGCACACCACTCACATTAGGGTCTTTCTTCTCCTCCGTCGAAGGCGGTGGTGACCTCCGACCGGCAGCGGACGCATCCCGACTACCAACACTCAACCCTAGCGCTGCCCCTACCAAGCCTAATGTCACATCCCTACACCATAGATAAAATAATTAAGGCCATATGACAATATGCAACAGTATGCAAGATTCTTAACGCAAAATATATCCTAGGACAAAATGTACCCAATTACTATATAAATGTGCTCATCATATCATTTACAACATAAACCCACATTGCAAACCTAGTTTTATATATATATATATATATATATATATATAGCAAGTAGAAACTAATTCAAGCACAAATTACACAATGAGGCCATAAAATCGAAGACATGACAATAAACACAAACCAAACCTTCTATGAATGGGTTTATGATCATCAAAAACTTGTTTAGAATGTTGATGGCAAGCCCAAATTCTTTGAAACCCTAAAGATGGAATGTGCAAAACTGCCCTCTTGGATTTGGTTGAGATGGGTGTTTTTGTTGTGGTGGTGGGTGGTATTGTGGTTAGTGAATGTGCCATGATGATGATGATAATGAGGAGACTCTTATCTAACTTGGGGTTTTAATTGATATGAAAAAAAAAAAAAAAAGCCCATTTTGTTTTATTAAAGTTGAAATTGTTGTATATGGGTCGTGGAGGATTGAAATTGTAAGAGGATAGTGTTTTTGTTTAGGAAATTTAGATGTAAATAAAGGTGGGAATTCATTGGTTGGTGATGGATAAGGTTCTAATTTTGTGGACCCTCTTGTGTTAATGCTTGGTAGCTTTAATATCCCATTTGATGCCTTTTTGTGTAAATGAATATGCTGTTATATAGGATTGCCATGAGGGGTTTGTAATTTCCTATATCAAGAAGAGTTTATCATTAGGGCAAACCTTGAAGTTAATATAAATATGTCATTATATAAGATTGACGATAAAAGGTTTAGAGTAATTATTAGTATCATGAAGAGTTTATCATTAGGGCAAATCTTAGAGTTTAATATGAATATGTCATTATATAGGATTGACGATGACGGGTTTAGAATAATTACCAGTATCACGAAGAGTTTATCATTAAAGCAAACCTTGGAGTTAATATGAATATGTCATTATATAGGATTAACGATAAAAAGTTTAGAGTAATTACCAATATCACAAAAAGTTTATCATTAGTACAAACCTTGGAGTTAATATGAATATATCATTATATAGGATTGACGATAAGAGGTTTAGAGTAATTATCAGTATCACGAAGAGTTTATCATTAAGGCAAACCTTAGAGTTAATATGAATATGTCATTATATAAGATTAACGATAAAAGGTTTAAAGTAATGACTAGTATCACAAAAAGTTTATCATTAGTGTAAACCTTAGAGTTAATATGAATATACCATTACAACAATGAGAGATTTAAAGTACTTATCAGAATCACAAAAAGTCTATCATTAGGACAAACTTCAAAGTTAAAATGAAAACGCAATTATATAGGATTGACGATAAGGGGTTTAAAATAATTACCGGTATCAAGAAAAGTTTATCATTAAGGCAACCTCGGAGTTAATGTACTAATCTCACACTATTTTAGTATATTGAAAAAATAAATAAACAAGTTTCTAATAAATTTAACAAAATCCCAATAGATTAGTTTTAAACTTTATGTGGCAATCTCCAAACATTTCACCTGTTTTTGGAACTCCGTTTTTCCAATTCTATGGCGTCTGTTTGCCTACTGCGCATGGATGTTGTGGAGGTTTCCATTAATATAGAAGCATCTATCACAAATTCAATATGAATACAAAGAATCAAAGTCAAAACCATTTGCATTGAGAACAAATTAGACAAATCTGTTGATATAAACAAGAAAGAGTTGAAAGAAGAGTTACTAATGACAACAATGTTTATAGAAATGGTATCATTATGCTCATCTAATCACAACAATTCAATTATGGTATGCCTATCTTGAAGAATTTTCATAATATCTAGGATTAACAATAAATAAACTAATTAATTGCTCGGTATTCTTTAACTGATATTCACACAATACAATAATCTAAAGACTAATTGCAACAAACTGATATCACATTGTGCATAAATTCACTGACCCACATCAAAAAATATTAAGGATTTCAAAATAATGAGGGAACAGAAGGGATCTTTGATATTAAACCAAAACTGAAACTTCATTTCATACCAAGCTAAAAAATATCCAAAATCTTTGTTATCATCTAACATGAAATCTCCAAGCTGCAAAAATGCAAAAATAAGAACAAAAATAACATGAGAAAACAATTTGGCTCAGCCACAATATTTTAGCTCAAATTAGGCCATGATTTTCACTCATCGTCGTCAACGGCTGAGTTGAGGGCTTGCAGTCTTTCGATCAATTTTGCCTTCCTTTCCTCGTATGTGAGTTTCTTCAAGTTGTACCTGTGATAAAAACATAGACAACTCAGCTACCCGATATTGACATGTCCAGAAAGATAGCAAACAAGCGTTTCAACAATTTATAACAGGCCTAACAGATGTACAAAACTGTCATTTTATGTTGGTCTTTTACCTCTTGTGTTCCTTGGGAGGCTGCTTGTTTGATTTCTTGGCAGTAGGATCTGCACGAATGGCAGCATGCACTTTCTTGTACAGTGCCTCCATGCCATCAGCGTCAATTCCTCTCTTGATGCATTCACTGAAGTGAGACTGATACTTCTCTGGTTCGTCTTCCATCAAAGTCTAGATGATGAAAAAGGTACAAAGTTAATAAAACACTGAAAAGGAGAATTTAATGAACTAGAAATAGTTCTTTAAAATCTCAGCCATACTTTCATGTATGAAGCAACATGGCCACCATAAATATACTTGCGGTGAACCTCAGCATCAAGCTGCTTGCTGTCCTTTGAGAAGCCAGCAAACCTCTTGTCACTGTGAGGAATGTCCAGACCACCGTCCAAAGCTCCCTGTATTAAGGATAAGTAAGCAACTCTGTAAACACATACTACTTATTTAGGTAAACTTTAGTTCTACTTAAGAATGTCCTCAGAAATTAAGGAAAAAACAATTTATTTCAGAAAGCAAAAATCACTATGCTAGTAGCAACGATTATAGATCTCAAACAATAATCTCAGATATTTGGGATAAGTTCTAGTTGTAAAACTGAGTATGTAAGCGTACATGTACTAAAACCATGAGTAAAATGAAAGTTAGCAACAACTTGGATGTTGGCAATTTATATACCTTCAGGGCACCAAAAACGCGGTTTCCAGTTGTGGTTCTAATGAGTCCAACATCAAGAAGAGCACGGAATGGCCTCCTGCTGTCACCTGGTTCAACAGAGTAATCCTCCCCAGTAGCCTGAAAAGAGAATGCTTTCTTTAAATATTTCATCATACTAACTGCTTTTAAGCAGGTTTGTCATTCGATACACAATTGAGCATGCAGAATTCAAGAGAAATAATATGAGTACCTCCACATTTCCTTCATACTCATCGTCCATCTCAAGCTTTTTCAAGACACGGCGGGCCAAGAGAAGTCCAGTGCAATAAGCTGATCAAGTTTTTAGAATAAAGCAATTAAGAGTCAAGCTTCTATGATGAGAGAGCCACAAAATTTTTCATAATTGAACCAAAAAAAAAAAAAAAAAAACCAAAAGTTTAGGATACCTGCAGCATAGTTTGTAAGACCTACTTCAAGCCCAAAATGAGGCAATTCATGGGCATATGCTGAAGCAAGAACTGAATCACCAACAATACTGGCTGATACTATTTGTGCAGTGATGTCCTTGTTAGTCTAAAACATTGTAAAGGATGAAACATGACGTTTAATATAGAAGCATCTATCACAAATTCAATATGAATACAAAGAATCAAAGTCAAAACCATTTGTATTGAGAACAAATTAGACAAATCTGTTGATTTAAACAAGAAAGAGGTAAGGCAAAACGACTTACACATACCCAAGATTTATTGAAATGATAAGTTGATACCTAAAAGGTTTTGAAACGACAAATAGGTACTTTCCGTCATGTTCTGTTAGTGATTTTCGTTTGATAATAGTGAAAAAACTAAAATGCCCTTAAAAGTTTAATATTTTAGCTTTTTATAAATTTAAAAATTTCTAAAAAAACCCTAGGTTTACTAATTTGACTAAGTACCGCAATATATAAATTTTTTATAAAATAACAAAAACTTCCCCGCCACACGTAGTGCCAGATTCCGGTGACCACTGTCGGAATTTAGCCGAAAAATTACGTTACGACACAGACCCGTCGGATCTGTGTCGTAACGCGTTGATCTGGCCGGAAAAGGCCAGATCTACGTCTGGCCTTTTTCGGCCTCGACAGCCAGATCTGGTTGTAGATCTGGTCGGAAAATGCCAGATCGACTGATCTGTGTCGTAACACAATTTTCCAGCCAGATTCCGGCCTCGACGACCAGATCTGGCTTTTTTCGGCCAGATCAACCACGGATCTTATCAAAAAATGTAAGATCTACGCGTTACGACACAGATCCGACAGGTCTCTATCATAACGCAATTTTTCGACCAGATTCCAACGGTGGTGACCGGAATCTAGCATTACAGGTGACGAGAGTGTTTTTGTTATTTTATAAAAAATTTATATATTAGGGTATTTAGTCAAATTAACAAATCTATGGGGTTTTTATAAATTTTTAAATTTTTAAAAAAACTAAAATATCAAACTATCAAGGCATTTTAGTCTTTTCACTATTATCAAACGAAAATCACACGAAAATCACTAATAGAACATGACGAAAGATGTCTATTTGTCGTTTCAAAACCTTTTGGATACCAACTTGTCATTTTGGCAAACCTTAGGTACGTAAATCATTCAGCCAAGAGTTAAAAGAAAAGTTATACTGTTGTTACAAATATCTTTACCATGTTAATACGAGTAGATTAGTGTTATTAAGTTAATACCAGACGGATAGAACTTCTTAAAAGTATTATAGAAGGATTAACAATAAATAAACAAATTAATTGCTCGGTATTCTTTAACTTTAACTGATATTCACACAATAAAATAATCTAAAGACTAATTGCAATAAACTGATATCAAATTGTGCATAAATTCACTGACCCACATCTAAAAATATTAAGGATTTCAAAATAATGAGGGAACAGAAGGGATCTTTGATATTAAACCAAAACTGAAACTTCATTTAATACCAAGCTAAAAAATATCCAAAATCTTTGTTATCATCTAACATGAAATCTCCAAGCTGCAAAAATGCAAAAATAAGAACAAAAATAACATGAGAAAACAATTTGGCTCAGCCACAATATTTTAGCTCAAATTAGGCCATGATTTTCACTCATCGTCGTCAACGGCTGAGTTGAGGGCTTGCAGTCTTTCGATCAATTTTGCCTTCCTTTCCTCGTATGTGAGTTTCTTCAAGTTGTACCTGTGATAAAAACATAGACAACTCAGCTACCCGATATTGACATGTCCAGAAAGATAGCAAACAAGCGTTTCAACAATTTATAACAGGCCTAACAGATGTACAAAACTGTCATTTTATGTTGGTCTTTTACCTCTTGTGTTCCTTGGGAGGCTGCTTGTTTGATTTCTTGGCAGTAGGATCTGCACGAATGGCAGCATGCACTTTCTTGTACAGTGCCTCCATGCCATCAGCGTCAATTCCTCTCTTGATGCATTCACTGAAGTGAGACTGATACTTCTCTGGTTCGTCTTCCATCAAAGTCTAGATGATGAAAAAGGTACAAAGTTAATAAAACACTGAAAAGGAGAATTTAATGAACTAGAAATAGTTCTTTAAAATCTCAGCCATACTTTCATGTATGAAGCAACATGGCCACCATAAATATACTTGCGGTGAACCTCAGCATCAAGCTGCTTGCTGTCCTTTGAGAAGCCAGCAAACCTCTTGTCACTGTGAGGAATGTCCAGACCACCGTCCAAAGCTCCCTGTATTAAGGATAAGTAAGCAACTCTGTAAACACATACTACTTATTTAGGTAAACTTTAGTTCTACTTAAGAATGTCCTCAGAAATTAAGGAAAAAACAATTTATTTCAGAAAGCAAAAATCACTATGCTAGTAGCAACGATTATAGATCTCAAACAATAATCTCAGATATTTGGGATAAGTTCTAGTTGTAAAACTGAGTATGTAAGCGTACATGTACTAAAACCATGAGTAAAATGAAAGTTAGCAACAACTTGGATGTTGGCAATTTATATACCTTCAGGGCACCAAAAACGCGGTTTCCAGTTGTGGTTCTAATGAGTCCAACATCAAGAAGAGCACGGAATGGCCTCCTGCTGTCACCTGGTTCAACAGAGTAATCCTCCCCAGTAGCCTGAAAAGAGAATGCTTTCTTTAAATATTTCATCATACTAACTGCTTTTAAGCAGGTTTGTCATTCGATACACAATTGAGCATGCAGAATTCAAGAGAAATAATATGAGTACCTCCACATTTCCTTCATACTCATCGTCCATCTCAAGCTTTTTCAAGACACGGCGGGCCAAGAGAAGTCCAGTGCAATAAGCTGATCAAGTTTTTAGAATAAAGCAATTAAGAGTCAAGCTTCTATGATGAGAGAGCCACAAAATTTTTCATAATTGAACCAAAAAAAAAAAAAAAAAAACCAAAAGTTTAGGATACCTGCAGCATAGTTTGTAAGACCTACTTCAAGCCCAAAATGAGGCAATTCATGGGCATATGCTGAAGCAAGAACTGAATCACCAACAATACTGGCTGATACTATTTGTGCAGTGATGTCCTTGTTAGTCTAAAACATTGTAAAGGATGAAACATGAACAGCAAATTGAGCTGACCCAGTATTGCATCACTCATATTACATATTACTAATGCCTAACACATGAAAATAATACTATAAAGGTAGAGAGTTGCAAACTTTGGAGCTTTTCTAGAAAGCACTCTCAAGCCAATTTGCTTTCTTTAAAAATATTTAACACATTCTAATAAACTTCCTATTAAGTGATGTTCTATAAGAACTTTTGGAGTAGTGAACCTCGACCCAAAAAAACACACTTCTAAAATGCACTACAGGAAATGTCAATAACTGTTTGATAGCACCACTGTCATCGACAATGCACTTCCAAACAAACCATTACATCAAACCAAAAAAAAAAAAATATATATATAGATTTAAAGTACTCCATTTTTACACCATCATAACAAGAATAAGCCAATTGTAGGATACAAATCGTACAACAAATCGATACTTGGGAGTGTTGTACTTGTTCTTATCCTGGTTAATCAACCGAATCCTTGCCCTGTAATCAGTCTTCCCCTCTGCATAAAACGAATTCAATAAAGCTCAAGAGACGAACAAAAATGCAGGGTCATTCTACATAACCTATTATCTATCAACATCAAACTTCAAATTTACAATTTACAATTTAAGTCTTGAATTTCCAAATTACAAAATTTACATTCCATATCTCAATTTACATTGGAAACATATAGTATAAGTTTTATTATTTTATTCAGAGTAACACACACAATTATATTCGTAATATCTTAAAAGTTTCACATTTCAATAATATATATTACAGTTTCACATTCTAAATAATAAATCCTACACATTTTCCTACAAAAATACTAACAACAATACAATACCTCTCCTTCTCTTGTACTTGACCTGAAACCTCTTGAAGTAAGCCTTGCTCTTCTGAGCCTTCACAAAGACCTGCAAAACCAAAAACAGCAACGTTTCAACATAAACCCTAAAGAATGAGCTTCTACCACACGACAACCAATACACAGCTCTCCTGAACAATAACGAATTATTTTATTAATAAACAAAACCAAAAATCAAGCAATGTACACAAAAAAAAAAAAATTTTTTTTAACATTTTCACCCATTTTCTCGGGAAACAAACAGAAACTCAGAAACGAAACAAGTACACAACACGACATATACCCATTTCTTACCACACAATAATGAATCATTTTAATCAGCAAAAGCTAAAATCAGCCAATGTAATAAAAATCTTTCTTAGAACATTTTCCCGCACTTCCTCGAGAAACAAACAGAAACAAAACCATATACACACCACAACAACAAACAACCCTTTCTCAGCACCCAAAAACGAACCGTTGCAATCAACAACCACCAAAAGAAAAAAACCAACCAATGTACATAGAAAAACCTTTCTTTGCCAACATATTCCAGCACTTTCTCGAGAAACAAACAGAAACTAACTGAAAGAAGAGATGGGTCAGGGATCTTACCATTGCTGAAGGTTTTGAGTTGAGAGAAAGAAGTGAAGAGAAGAAGAAGACGGCTAGAGAGTTAGAGAGAGGATCGAGATTGATATATAAACCCTAGGACTCTGAGTGACCTAAGTGATAATCAGATCAACGGCTGTGATTTATTTGGCAAGTTCTCCTAGGGTTTTTTTAGATTAAGTGGCATTTTAGTCTTTTTACACTTTTATTTAAGTTTGTATTTGCTGCAATTTAGCTTATTTTATTTACTATGATCTTAATATTTATACAAGTTTTAAAATATAATATATATACAACTTTAAATTTTGACATTATCTTTTTTTAAATTTTTTTAAGTGATAATAAAAAAAAAAATCTGATTTTTAATTTAATACAATATTTAACATAAAATATAAATTAATAAATAATATTAAATTTGAAGTAAATATTTCTTTTAAGGAATTTAACTTCTTAAATGAGAAAAATCGAGTTTTTTTTTTTTTTTTTTTTCATTGAAGTGTCGGTGAACATTTTATAAATCCAATGGGTCAATGAGTCACAATATAATAGACGGCCACTTATGAAATTTGAACACAAGATCCTTAGCTTCTAAGTCATCAAATGATTAAGATCGAGAGTTAATACTAATAATCCAACGGTTAATTATTTTACATATCACATTTTATTTTTCACCCGTTGGATTGTAATTTATCAATGGTTATAAATCATGTCTCAAAATTGAGTAAAAAATTAAGTTATTTATATAAGATAAATTTTGAATTTTCGATAATAATATTCCGAATAAATTCATTGACTATCATCAATAATAAAGTCCTATTTTATAAAATAAAATATGAACACCCACACTTAAGATCTCATTCTTCATATATACTCTCAAATGCCAAAATCTTGAAATTTTAATTCATGTATATACTCTTAAATGCAAGCGTCTTGAAATTTTTATTTCATATATGAATAAGAGTGATGCTATGGGTACTAATGGATGAGTACTAATATGTGTACTAACTAAAGCATAGTACCCGTACTATGCGCATAGTACAGGTACTATGCATTAGTTAAGTACGCATATTAGTACTCATCTATTAGTACCCAAAGTATTATTCTATGAATAATACTGTAGGTAGTAATGGATGGGTACTAATCTGTGTACTAACCAAAGAATAGTATCCGTACTATGCGTATAGTACAGGTACTATGCTTTAGTTAGTACACAGATTAGTACCCATCCATTAGTACCCATAGCATCACTCTATATGAATATATATACTCTTAAAATGCAAACGTCTTGAAACTTTTCACCGTTCACGATTTATTTAGTTGAACCAATCGACAATTAGATATAGGATTTAGTAATTTACCAATTTTGATGGAGCAAATTTTATTGTTATAAGAATACAACTTTACATAATATCTATAAATATTATTTGAAATAGAGTAAAGGACTTTGTAATTTAATCTTAATACAAAAAAATAAAAAAATAAATAAAAAATTCAAAGACAATTAGTAAAGGATGTTCTTGTCTTTACAACGAATATACATTGTATTTAACGAAAATTACTAACAAAGCATAATACTGAATAGTAAAGTGTTGTTTTAAAACTTTTTGAGTGAAAGATATTCAACCAACTCCTGCCTGGGAAAAAGTAGTTTACTCTTTGAAATAATATAAATATAAAAGATTATCTTGTATAAAAATCATTTCATCTATTACGGCATACATTAACTTTTTTTTTTTAAAAAAAAAAATTCTCTTCATAATTCATCCTGGAATGAAGAGAAAAGCTCTTATGACTTTATCATACAACACAAATTATATTATACTGCATCAATGAACTTGATACTGCTACATTTTAATTTTATACAACAAAAAAAAAATTATATCAATAAATGACAACAACAAACAAATCAATGGTGATCCATTCTGGAAAGCATTCTTTCCGATGATCAGACGGCCGAGAGGCTTGCCCATTTACCGAGTTCATAAGGATCACAGAAGTAGTATAACTTGATTCTATTTCCCAAAGATAGTCCGGCCGCCACAGGTGGAGCTCGAAAACCTGAATCATCCTGCTCTGCGGGGTCATCAGAAAATGCAGTAATGTCTCCGAGAAGTTTGAATGATATTCTGCGGCTTTGGATCGGTTCTGGGAAGTCAAAGTACATTGGTGTTCCGGGTTTAGTCTCTGGTAGGCGGTGCTCTGCGACTGTTACCATCTTGTTTGGTTCCTGGAGGACGGAGACTTGAATGTACAGTACAGCTGGAGCGATGTGTCTGTCTTCTAAGAAAGTTATTGATGTATCCCAGATATCGGCATCTGAAGAAGGCGAATGGGTAACTCGTGGCTTTATTGCAGTTAAAGCGTCTAACCGGAATCCACCAAGCGGAGGTGAAGCAGGAGGAAGATACTGTTCCAACAAAAGATCATTGTCCATCAAGCGCTCAGCCTCAATTGGGAGCTGAAAGGAAAAATGAGGATCGTTATGGCAATGCAATAGCGGAAAACTGGAATTGTGAATGAACAGAGCATGAAAGCATTGTTTATACCTTGAATCTACCCAACGGAGGAGGCCTGTCCAACCAGTTTCCAAAATTCACCTGATCCATGCTCTGTGATGATGTACGCTCCATCTCTTTTTTCACTGGGCTTCCGACTACTAAAATTCTTTTGGCATGAAGACATGGTTCACTTTCGGCTGCTCCAAAAGAAGCTCGCCGACTTGTTTGTGCAAAGGGGTTTTCATTATCATCTAGTGACAAAAGATTGAAGTCTTTCTTAAAATTAACAGAGGCTGAACCAGGCCTCTGAAGACGTAGAGTTATCCAAATAATGCGACACCTAACAGTATTCCTAAAAGAAAATTTTACATGCCTAGGTAATTTATCTTCTCTAACTGAATTTTCCGGTTCATATAAATCTGGAGAAGATGCAATTAGGGATTGAACATCCCACTTTCCCATGGATGACTTTTCTTCCCTGTGTATTTTATTGCTAGCCCAAATTTGTACCTGTAACAGAAAAAATAAGAACTTAGCGTACATAAAAAGTAAAGGTCACTAATGAAAGAAAAAACCAGAAATAACGGTTTACAATAAGCAAAAGCTACAGAACTGTAACGTTAATACACTTGGATTTGAAAATAGTTCCTAGGATTTGGAACTTCTAAAAGTTGATGGCTGAACTTGTGCGGTCCAAACCTTCAAGCTTGTTTAACTCTTGTGGTTCCTTCCCTACTTTTAATCCTGAGTACGAGCTTTGAGTCTCAGAACCCAGACCTCACCAAAAATGGTTTTATGTCCACAGTTCATATTTGCGGTTGAGAATTTTTTTTTTGTAAACCCTGAAATCCTCCGACCTTTCTTACGGGTCACCTAGTTCTAGACCGAGGATTAAAGTGGAAACTAAGGGGTTTTAAATCCGTAGCCTCTCTAGATTTAGAACCAAAGGTCTCAACCACTTAACCGAACCCTAGGGTCAACTTGTGACAATTTATAAATAGAAAATCTATCACCAATATTCCTCTCCATTCACCGTGTCTAGGAAGATTTTCCAAACACCTTCTCACTTCATCAGCAAATGCGACACTCATTCTCTGGTATAGAGCAGTAATAAAGAGACCACTAGACTTTTACCAAATTTCGTTGAACACCAAGAAAATTAAGAGATAGGTGTGCTTACACTGGGAGTGTCGGCGATGGAATAGCCGCATGGACTAACAAGCAAGATGACCCCACTAACATCAGAGAGAGTACCAAGAACAATAGCAAATTCAACAGATGTAGTATTAGGAGGAGCTCTCCAATATGAATGGCGTGATCGAGAACTCAATGGAGCGAGGAGTGACAAAAATGGTGCTGAATCTGTTGCTGTTTCAACCTACAATGGCACCAAGAAATGTAAAATAAATATACCATCTCTAGATTACAAAAATCAAGCTGAATTGTCTGTAAATCATGTGGCACATAATCTTGCAGCAAACAAAATATGCAAAATCGAACAAAAGCTTACACTAGAAAAAATATTTTCAAGCTTTTTAAGGCATCCTCTACTAACCAACCTTAAAGATTACAATAACCTACGGGATTATTGTGGAATCCTACAACCTTGAGCAGACAACAATGCTAGTCAAGAAACTTTTGAAATATTTTATGCCAAAACAGAAATCAAACCAGGTTCACAGCATTCACACTTGAAATTATGAACGTGATATCCAAATTCAGCCCCCACCTTCAGGAAATTTTACTCAGTCCCAAAGATGATAGAATACATGAGATAAAATGTGTCTCACCAAAGTGATACTAAACAATCGGTGCAGAAGCAGTGCATTAATTCTAGACAGAGTCGATACGCTTGAAGTAGAAAGCACCATAAATATTTATATTACAAGCATGGTGCGTATCAATGGCAGCACTTGCCATTAGTTATACTGAGAAATCCAACCAAATTATTTAAGAGCTTGTATAAAAGACAGAACAATATGATAAAAGCCAATCAATTACTGCAAATTTGAAATTACGATGTAATACAAGCCAAGACCATACCGAGTGCAAAAAGCTTGCAAATGGAAACTCAGCAAGTGATTCCTGTCCACCTAGTAATTGAGGTAAGACTTTAACAGCTTGAACACTATCAGATGGAAGAGTCCTTTCAGCAAGGCAATCCTTCAAGGAGGATCCCACAACCTCATTCAAAGCTTTATAAGCAGCATTGTCTGCACGGGCACATCTTCGCAAACTAATCAAGACCCGAACATAGTCCAACACCAATGCATCAAGCACGATCTCATGACAACATTTTTTACAGACAACACTATCCAGTGTTACTGAACGATTTGTAGATGCATCAAGTTGGCCACCATGGCTTGATCCACCCTGACTAGATGCACCATTGGTAACCTCCCTTGAGTTATAATTTGTGAAAAGAAGAGCTCCTCTTCCAGCACAACAAACTTTACAAACCCTTCTTTCACATTGAGAGCACAGCAAAAAAGATTGCGAAGCTCCAGCAGATGACACTGTAGCTGATGCAAGAGCAGGTGCACTGGTTTCAGCACGCACCTCACACTCGCCACCGACACAGCTTTCCCCAATTTTAGCAATATTCCAGAAGTCTATCAGATTATCGTCAATATTTTCAAGACCAATAGAACCAATAAGTTTATCTTCAAGAGAAGTTTGACCAAGCAATGCAAGGGATTTCGCTACTCTGCACAATCTTCCCATGTAAGATTCATCAAGCAAAACATTTGGATTTATAGTGGCAGGATCGATTCCAATTGACAATAAAGCTCTATCCCTTTCAGCCGCTGAAAGATTCAGCCGCAGGCGTTCAATTTCAAGTTTCATAGCTTCTATGAAGTCTAGTTTTCTTTCCTGCAAATTTGCACAGAAGCATGTGGGTAAAATAGTATTTAAGCTCATAGACAATAATATTTAAGCTCCGACACATTTTATATAAAAAATGAATCTAATATGATGTTATGGCTTAACACAACAACCAAAGGTAGTATCATACCATATGTGACCCAGCAAGGGATTTCAAACAATTTATATACTGCTGGGCGCCCCTATCTGGAGGTCTTTCACCCTGTTTTGAAGGGGCCTTATGATCAGTTTCTGTACCATGATACTCGACAACAGCTTGGTCCAGGAAATCAAACAAGTCATTTCCCTCATGCTCAACACTTCTTGTAACCGGCTCATAAGCAGGATCAGAAAATGTGTCCCCTCCAGTCAAAAGGTCAGCCCAGGGATTGGCAGAAGCATTTTGTTGGACTGATGTTGACACTTTTTCATTGGATAGGGAAGTGTCAACATATGGATTCGTATCTGAACTTGACAACAACGAATTGGGTTGTTTTTGAATTTTTTTGGCAAGCTCAAGTATTCCTGCACCAGGGCCTTCCTGAGAAAATACTCCTCTCCAAGGAAGAGAAACTCCAAGGATCTCTATCTGTTACAAATTTTATAACTGAGTTATCTAACAGCAGCATCAATAGCAAACCCAATCACCAAATGTTCATGAACAGATGTACTTATTTGAGTGTAAGAAGCGCATCACTATAATATTTCAAAAGAAAAATCTCTACCTCACCAAAAGTCATGGAGCTTCTTTCAGAAACAGCAGGATAAAAAGTAAGTGCCACTACACGAGTAAGAAAATCCAATTCTCCCTCAAGCTCTTCAAAATCATACAACAATGGAAGGATTGATGCCTCTTGATCATGGAGTCGTGCACCAGCTCCAGTTATAGCCATATCCTCAGAACTAACTGCTCCTGGTAAGGGTATCATAAGGTTTGTCCCATTTCCACACCGAGGTATAGAAGCACCCTGTCAACAAAAACCAAGGTAGGATTAGAAACTGCCAGAAGTTGTATGCCACATGTAGCGTAAACTGGGCCCCAAATGTCTGAAAAAAGTAACAAAAATAATTAATGCCAAAGTCATGACACCAATGAACACATCATATAATATCTTAAATAACAGAAGTTAGATGGGAGAAAAAGTCAGAGCTAAAAGAGCATGCAAACAATAGAAGAATGAGAGAGAATTAGAGAGAGAAAAGCGTGTCCTACTATAAGGTTCATATGAGACATACAAGATATGCAACCCAAAGGACCCTACAGTACAAAAAATTCTGAGTATGATCCATATTCACAGCCAAATTTAGAATAAAACCCAAAACAGGTCCAGCCCATATTCATATATGAATAGCACGTATTCAGGACCAGCCTAGTAATCATTCACATTGTGGCCTAACCACGAATCTATAAAGACTAATACATATTGTATTGATAACTGATATTTACAGACATCAAATTCTCTACCTTATATTTTAAAAACTAATCACAATTTCTATTATCTTTACACAACTGGTTCTTGCCATTTTTCCAAGGTCCTGTAGTAGAAAAAATACAGACATTCAAGGCTCAAGAAATCCTTCTGCGTAAAGACTCTCTTCTAACTCACATGAAATCAAACAATAAGAAGAAAATATTGCAAAATTTTTGGGAGCAAGATGCAAAACAGAGTCAGTACAAACCTCCAAAACCAGTTTAAGACTGTCCAAGTAGCGGCCTGTTCTCACATCAACTGTTGACGGATATGTTGAATCATCTGCCCCATGAGATATGGTGAGAAGAAGCTGACAGACATGGCAAGGCTCACCAAGATAGATGAAAAGTTCAACCACATCTGCAGCTTGTGGGCAAACCTGTGGCAAAAACAATCCATACATTCCAATAAGGATAGCAATAAGTCAAAAGAGAAAGACAATTAAAGAGTTGAACAGAAAGACCATTTCTCAGCTGCAATATGATAGCCATAATTGAAAAGAATTATATGTACCCAGATCATATCCTTTCTCTTGAAACTCAGAAGACTGGTTCCACCATCAGAACTTGGATACATGTTGGCAACTGGCTTAAGGAAGAAACCAGATGGCCGAGAAGGTACCTGCAACCAACAGCATGACATGTAATGGTCCACCAAATTGCCCAAAGAAAAAAATAAGTAATACAAATTATATAGTTTATCTGCCTAAACATAGATATCTTTGTTTAGTGTGATTAAGTCATTCACTCGCTACAAGTACTCATTTGTCATGACCTGAAAACTAATCATTACGCACAGAATGCTGTGCAACCTGAAAGATGAACAAAGTATTTCCATAAAAAAAAATGTTCACAAATATCCTAAGTGATAACTGGTGTCATACACAAAATAATGATAATTTAGAAATCAATTTAGCCTCAAAGAGAGCCCAAAGGGAACACCAGACTCGCTCAGGAACATTCCACAGCTTTAATCCAAGCCAAAGTCCATATATAGGGAAGATTTTCCTCACCAAAAAATTTACCTCAAGACAATGACTCAAAGTTCGAGGTGGAGCTTCAAATCACATTGAAACTCAACAGGTGAACCCAAGACATTTGTGGATAGTTAAGTTATATTAGATTCAGAAGGACTTTCAAATCAGATTATTCTACAATAGGTAACTTCCAACAATTTGACGAGCATTACAAAATAAAAGGACATCTTAAACTTAGGTTTGTTTTAAATATTTTTTATTGAAATGCTGAACATATAAAAGCCTAAGTTAGCAACAATTCGATAACGTAATATTATCTCTATCTCCAGAGGAAATCACCAACAATTACAGTAAGACTCTTTAGATAGCTAATACTAAGGAATTCTAAGAGTATCATACGTTTAGGGGTTGAACTGAAACAGATGGAAGATGCTTGAAAAGCCTCATTCCAAGAAACATCTCCAACTGCTTCTGCCGAGAGCTATCTACAATTGCATTTTTATATCTTCTCTGCAAAGTGATTTTCATATTCTGTGCTGCAGAAAACTGTTTGAACTTCCCTCCTTCGTCATTGAATATGCTAAGAATTTGGCTATGCATAGCTTTTGATCCAGTGTAGAGTGTTGCATGGATATCACCAGCAAGCAGAAAAAGATCTGCTAGCTGAGATACTGGTGATAAAATTGTTGACCCCTTGAACTCCTCAAATGTCATATGAAATCTCTTCCAAGGTTTATCCGGACATGGATGAATCCATGTGGTGGTCCTAGTGTTGTGATCAATATAATATGTTTTGCCTGTCACTGAATCAGTTCTTTTCTCCCAGCCTCGTGGCAATGGAGCAATATATCCACCATAGTTATTAGCTGATTGATAACCAAATGCCAAATCGCTATCAAGGGAGATCCCAAGCCGCCTACATTGCTCCACAAAAACTTGGAGAGCACCAAAATAACTAGCAGCATTTGTACGGTCCAGCGAGTCTGCACAGTTAAATCGTATCACTCCATTTTGAAGGGATCTTAAGCAAAAGGCACCTTCAAAGTCATCAGTGCAGATGACTTCACCTCTGCAATCATTAAGCCGCTGCCGTGAAGGCAAATAATCTCCTTCAGAAAAACCTATGGCCATGGTGGGTGCTCTTAGATGTTTCCATAATCCTTCAATTGTAAGTTGTTCACCATTCAATTTTACACTGGCATGCCAGTCATAATTTATCAAAATAATTCGTGTATCTGGAAGCTTTCCAGTTGATCTGACATAGTTCAACGATTTCTCAAAATGCTGAACCAAAATGGATTCTGACTTCCCTTCTCCATATCTAAGCAAATTAATACATACAAGTGGAACAATAGCTTTTTTCTTCTGATTTTCCCCAACAGCTGCATCAAATTTTCTTCCATCATATCGATTACTTAACCTCAGATAATACTGGGCACTTCCTTTATAGGGATCCCGATCTGAAACATAAATTTCAGCTTCAGCAGCTGTGATCTTCAATTCTGCACCCCACCATATTGGAATTGTTCCCCGCCGCCAAATGTATGTATTAAAAGGAACACTCTGACCAGTCCTTTTAGGAATCCATACAAGTTGCTCACACTCAACTTCATTTCCTGTGACATGCAAATTCTTTACCATTTCAGAGAAAATCATTCAAAAAAGAAGATTGGGATCAGAAGCACATAAGTGAACGAGCAATGATCAATAACAGAGAAACTGGAAAAAAAATTAAAATAAAATAAAATAAACAAGAATAAGGTGGTAAATGGATATTCCTATTTGTACTGTTAAGTGGTACAATAAACAAGTCGTAACATAGAAGTTATATCAAAGGAATTTAATAGATATACCAGAAAACACAGTTAAATAATGAACTGCTAGATAAGCATAAGATGCTAGACAAGAATGCCAGAACATGTCAAGAAGCATCATTATCAACCAGTGTCTGTCACAAATATGACTATTAGGTCCTCATCAGTTGTCAGTTGGACCATATATATATATATATATATATACACACACACACACAGGTATGTTTACATGTATACATTTATATATAAATATGTATAGACATTGTGCTGTTAACTTCCCACCAGATACTATTTTACCATTTTATGATAGTTATTTTAATGCAGAGTAAATTCAGTTGAAATTAGAAAGAAAGGGCAATTGAAGATAAACCAAAAACTGTAAATAAAACTGAGCATCACAAATAATTCTTTTGATGTTTTCAACATGGCAGAGAACCACCAGGCAAACACCAAAACTAAAAGTAAAAAAGCAATATTCATTGCTGGAGATGTTAATAGATTATCTTACCTGTACTAAAACATGAATTTATCCCTCTAGCCAAGTACCTAGTACCAGGGTGCAGCCTACTACGTCGAGCTATGAGAGCAACAATCCCTTCTAGCTGACCTGAACTTCCAAAACTCCGACATTCTGCAAACCCCTATACATTAATATCCAGTGAAAGTAGTATTAACATATTATTTTTAAATCACATGCTTACTGCAGGTAGATTACTGTCAAATTAGAACATGAAAGCAGGCATATTAGACACTAAGAACCTGATTAATTTGTGATTCATAAATAATTTTAAAAAACTAAGATACAATAAAAGAATTTAAATTGTATTCAAATATTTTTAATATATAAAAATGAGTTCCATACAATATTCAAAAATTATTTTCAAAATTTAAAAACTATAGAAAACAGAGACAACTTAATACATTTCAATCAAATGCATGGTCTGAAGGTTCTTGTTTCCCTAATTTTCAAAAACAAAGAATTTATTGAAATACTAAACCAAACGGGCCCTAGAGATTTTTGCCATAGAGGGGAGAAATGGATTAAGGAATGTTTGAAAAGGTCTATGGTTTCCACATATTATACAGTGTGGAATCACTTTGCGTTAACCATTTCTTTGAGTAATAGAAGTTTATTTGTTCGTTACAATATATATATATATCAAGAATGAACTATAGATGAGAGTGGTATTCACACAAATATAATAAGTTTCAGAGCAGATATATTTAATGAACAAAAGAAAGCAGAAACAAGCCAGAAAAAGTTATGATTGGGATTGCACCGCAGCTTTCTGATTTCTAAGATACAACAACAATCGACTCTGCATGGGCTATGATGTTCTAGCTCTTTTAAAAAGTTATGTTATTATTTTTTAGATAAACTTTATAGCATGTCTTATTAAAAAAACATATCCATTTCAATAATGTTGAGAAAAAATGTACAGAATGATAGCTACATGAATTGAATACATTTCTGAGGTGAAGCCCAATTGTTGTATTTGTAGATTTATAGCCTAATCACGTCTAACAAATAATAACAAAATGATATAACTAAAATTTTGTTATGCCATTACTTCTATTCAATCATTTTCTCAGACTGCTTCATGGGTGAAATGTCATATATCAAGGTAAAGATGGGTATAGTAGTAATGATCCACTATCATTCGAATAGTATTCTTCCTCCTTAATAACATTATTTGTTTCTTAATTAAAAAAAAAAGGACCACAGTTATTCTATTACCAATTTCATTAACTTATTATCTTTATACAATCTTTCATTTAATAATTATAACCAGCAAATTTAATGAGATACTGTGCACAAAATGGAAAATCTTACAACACAGTAGCAGCAGGCTTATAACAAGCATTAAAGAGAAATTTGAGAGGGAGGATGGGAAAATGATAAAATTTCTATGAGCAACAAATTGAAGATACCAAGAATGAAACAAAACCTGCAGAAGAACAATGCAATGTCGTGGTAACCCAATGTTTTTAAAAGGCATTGACAGCCAACCATTCCAAACAAATTCCTCATCAGGACTTTGTAAAGGCATGCGGCTAGGGAAGGGTCTAGTAATATCTCTTGTATCGCAAAAATAGTGCTTCCCATCAATGTCCAGATCAGTCAACTCCTGAACATTCTTTACTTCTCCTTTACCTTGGGGTTGAGGATTTTGAAGTGGTATTTTGATCCATTGGCTTTCTGTCACTGTATATACACATCCTCCACCAGGCAGATTACGAATACTGGCAGTTAACCTTGTGGCAACAAGAAGCATCCCAAAGCTTCCCAGGGCAGCATAACCCAATATCACCTTGCCATAAGTTGTCTTGCACGACGATCGTGATCCATTTGTAATGTAATCTAAAGCTTCCTTTTCCGATCTAAAAACATCATAACCTTGTTTCCCATTGTAGCGAAGCGCACCAGTAGTTGGATCAACATATATCACCTGAGTGTCACTCGTAGAATACAAACTGACAATAATATACACTTCACCAGTATCCAGGGTAGCAACAATAACAGAGAAGTCTTTTGAACCACCGACTGTAACATAAACCATAGAGAAAATGCATTAACACTCTTACCTTGCATATAATAAATAAAAGCCAAAAAAAAAAAAAATCCAGTTTATTATTAATAAATTTTAAAAAAGCAAGATAATCACAAGATCCCTGCTGACATCTACATTACACACCCTCCACTACAAGTTCAAAACTCAATAAACACCATCAAAACAGAACAATTTACAAGTTTTTTTCTTGATATTCAAAACATCCCTCGCATCACATAAAACTCCTAGCTTTTTGCCATATAAATAACCATGCTAAGGGAAGCAAATGACAAATCTTACCACTTCACCAACACCTCAGAATTAAAGCATTACAAGTCCACATTGATCACCTACCATCAACTATGGATTCCAAACTCAGTTAATGCCATCAAAACATAAAATTTAAACCCTTTTTTCCCTAATAACCAAGAAATCCCTCCTGTTGCATAAAACTCATAGCTTTTCGCCATGTAAGTAACCTGCACAAATTGAAGCAAACCACACATCTAACTGCTTAACCAACACCTCACATAACTAAAACACAACAATTACACTTGAAACTTAACCTTAACCCACCTCTTCAAACAACACAGCAACACCAATATTCATCAAATTTCAATCCAAGACGCGAAAACATTCAAATCCAGATCGAAGTTCCTCTCAAATCAACATCAAATTAAACACGCCCCAATTTCAAACCCTCTAACAAAATTCAATATTTTTCACAATTCCAAATATAAACACCTAAATCTAGCTAAATTTCAGAAACATTAAAACAAAATTAAATTAAATTAAATTAACATAAATAAAACATTAAAACGGCAACGTTGAACAATGTACTCACCAGGTGATTCCATTAGCTCAATTGAACCAGACTGGATTCAAATTTAAACGCCACGTGTTTGACGATCCAATTACCTGATAAAACACAGAGATTCTGAGATCTAAAAACGAAACTCAAAACAAAAATTGTGATTCCAAAAACAAAGAAAACACCTTCACAATGCATCAAAAACAAAGCTTCTACCTCCTCAACTACGATCTGGCCACGAGAGAGACGATAAATTGGAGCAAAAAGGCGCGAGAAGTTGGGGAGATTTTGGTTGTTGACTGACCTGACCGGAGAGTCGTGCACATGAGAAATTAAAATGCGGGAGATTCAAGACGAGAGACCACGAGAAAGAAACTGTGAGCTGGGATCTGCTGCGTGCGAGTCCATGTCTTTGGAATATACAACTAATGGCTGTTTGCCACGTGGTGAGAAAATAGATTGACTTCAGCTGGGTTTTTTATTGGGCCTGGGTGGCGGATCAGGCCCAATATGGATCAAGCCCATTGCTCTTTTGGCACGGACTATTTTGGAGGGTGAATTAATTTCAAAACAATTTCTTTAAATTGAAAATCAAATTAAATAAAATTGTGATTATGTTAATGTATTGAAAAACGATTTTTTTTTTTAATTTTTTATAAATAAATAATATTGATATAATTAGATTATTTGTATTCTTCAAAGTGATAAAATATTCATTTAATATTAAAAGATATTTGAGTCATAAATATCTAGCTTGATAAACTAAAGTTTAATAAATAACTTTTATAAGCATAAATCACATTGAACAAACCCTACATATAGACTAATTTCAACATATTCAAACGAGAGCACCTCTTATAAAGGCATTTGATTTTGTCATGGAGATGGTATTTTACATATTTGATGTGATTATCAAACGGTTTATCGTGTGAAACCAAATATATCGATTCTATAAGTATAATAATAAAGAAAAATGTAAAATAAGAGCACTTAACAATATTTAAAAGGTTCGTCGGACTCGGACCCAACATGGAAGAGATAAAAAAAGTCTAGCAAATAACCTAATTAACATTCCTACGCATAAATTACATCGAACAAATCCGACATCAACTAATTTCAACATATTCAAAGCCAAAATACATCTCTTTAGAAGTATTTGATTTCGTCGTTCTTTACATATTTGACATGATTAATTATTAAACATGTTTAAGGTGGTAAATCAAAGAATGATAACGACAAATATGGGTATGAATACTCGACACTTTTGACATCATTTGAAATTTATTTAGAAGAGCTCGACATGAAAGAGATAAACAAAAGCATGTCGATAATATGTACAAGCATCAATCACATTGAACAAATCTTACGTCCCATTGATTTTAACGTGTTCATACGAAAAATATCTCTTATAAGAAGTATGTGATTTCATCGTACTCTACATATTTAACATGATTATTAAACAAACGTATAAGTATTATGATAAAGAAAAAATATTTGGTTATGTTGGTTTCAATATTCCCAATCTTATCCTATTCTATCAAATCTTACCCAAAATACATATTTGTTTTAATATTCTCAAAATCTGATAATATTCTTTTCAACTCAAAATATTTATATTTTTTTACCCCTTAGGTTTGTTAATTTAACTAAACACCCCCAACAATAAAAGTTTATAAATTGACAAAAACACTCCTATCCACCGACATATTTCTAGCAGTTGGCCACTGCCGCTGGAAGGTGGTCGGAATTTGTCAGAATAGCGCACGAATGGCTGGATGTGGCGGTCGTGCTCCGATCTGGCCGTTCTAGTCAGATCCATGGTAGATCTGGCTAGAAAAGACTAAATTTAGCTGTTCGTGTGCCATTCCGATAACCTTCTGACAACCCTTCGGTGATGGTGGGCCAGTTGCCATATTTAATGGGTGGATGAAGGTGTTTTTGTTAATTTTTAATGTTTTATTATAGGAGTGTTATCTAAATTAACAAATGTAGGAGATTAAAAATAATCTAAATATTTTAAAAAATGTTTACAAATTTTTTTTCAAATACATCTTTAAATTAAATCTTATTCTCGTAATAATAATCCAACTCACCTTTTTCAAATACTACTTAAAATAGTCTACCATACATACCAAAAAGTATTCAACTATTTGTCTTATGATCGGATCGTAAAACTTTAACCGTCTAGATGAGTTATCTAGAGGTTTTGTGGACCTAGAGATTAATTGAGATGTGTTCAAACTAATTCGAGCGAAGAGATTGTTACAATATTTGAAAGCTTTGAACAACTGGTTTAGAAAGAGGATTCTAATTCTATTTGAGATTAGAAAACTATGTAGCAGATCATTTCAAATATTGTTACATATATGACAAAGATGGATATGATATTTTGATGGATTTAGGTGAAAATATATCCAAAATTGGAAGAATATTTTGAGATTTTGAGGTGTTGACATTAAAAAAAAATCTCAAAATCCAAAATTTGTCCCCACAAAACTAAACGAGAGGCGAAGAGGAGCCAAACCAGATGATGAAGCTAACGGCTTTGACAAGCCACACGATTTCTCCCATTTGTCATATTTACAAACAAACAAACAAATAAACTACAAAAATTCTTCTCTTAAATAAATCCCATTATCCATTTTCAGCTTGGCATTACCGTTTTGTTCAAGTAAGAACTGTACTTTAGGTTCGTTGTTTCTCTTAAAATGCTCTTGAGTGAAATTTAAGATGCCCGGATCAAGTTTTGATCCTTTTGTGATGAATTCAATTGGGTTGTTTTAGTCCATTTTAGTTATGTAAAGTTTTGCATGTTTAATTGCAAAGAGATCGAGTTTTTAGAGATAGGTGGAAACATTAAGCTTCTTGTTGCAAGAGAATCTTAAGACACCCATATGAAGAATTGATCTTTTGGTGCTGAGTTCTGATGGGTTGTGTTAGTTTTTTTTTCATTTGCATGTTTACTTGCACTAAAGATTGAGATTTTAGACGCAATGGTGAAAAAAGTTTGCTTCCTGTTGCAAGTGAATTTTAAGATACCCATATGAAGATTTGACTCTCTTGTGATCAATTCCAGGGGGTTCTGTCAGTTTTTCAGTTAGGTGAAAATCTGCATGTTTGCTTGCATTAGATATTGAGGTTTTAGACACATTGGTGAGAAGTGTAAGTTTCTTGTTCTAAATGAACTCTAAGATACCCAGATGAAATATGATCCTTTTGTGCTGAATTCAAATGGGTTGGGTCAGTTGGTGTAGCTATGCAGAAATATGCATGTTTATTTGCATTAGAGATTGAGTTTTTAGACATACAAGTGAAAAGTGTCAGCTTTCTCTCATAAGTTCATCTGGGTTGTGTTTGATTTGTTATTGATCTTAAATGTTTCTAGTATAGTGTTGTATGCACGAATGCGATGTTAGGTGTTATTAAAATAACTTTTTATTTTTTGATTTTTTTTAATTGTGCAGATATGAAAGTTTTGTGAATCTTTTGAGCCTGATCTTGTGTTGAAATGATGATGTTGCCTGTATGCTCAGCCACCTCGAGTTGTTCATCTCATTCATTGGTGAGATTTGAGATTTCACTCTCAAGAATGGTTATCTTTTATCTGAATCTTCCAGTTATTTAATTTCGTAACCAGTGCTAGGAGAGTTTATGAATATAGATAGTTTGAAGCTCACACATGGTTTCTATTGATTCTATTAGGTTGAGACTTGAGATCACATATGTAATTGTGTAGGATCATTATTTTGTTGGTCTTTTAGTTAATGAAGAAGGAGAGGTTATTAGTTAAACTTGGTAGTATACAAGTGATAACTATTAATTTCTGATGGACTCAGGATTAAACTAATACTGGTTCTTGCGGAACATGTTTCAGAATTTCAAGAGTAAGTTGGTCAGTGGCTAAGATATTGCTAATTTTTGGAATGCTTGTTTCGCATTGAGTCTCTTAATATATTTTATGAAATCAATCTACAACAATGTTGTGGGTCATTGTTGCCTGATTGATTATGAATAATTCTTCTTTGTTCATTGATTGTGTATATGTATCATACTGGTCAGCTTAGAAGTTTCTTAACTAGGACTTCTAGTAAAAAATGAAATTATGTTAAGAGTCAAAGATCTACCAGTGCAAGAGAATAGTTTCCTCTCTATCAACACTCTTGGTACCATGGAAACTAAATGGAGTGACTTCGTCTCCCTAAAAATTGAATGGCATACGCATGCTTGTGTTGCAACTTTTTCTTGTTTAACTAGCAAAACTTTATAGATTAATCCACAAATCCTGCAGATTTCTTTCCATGGAGGTTTGCGGTCCTGTTCTCCATTCAAGAAGGATTTTGAATCTAGATGTTTTGTGGAAGACGGCATTGATTTGGGCTTGACAAATGGAATCCATCTCCAGAGAATTTCCTTTAAAACACAAGCTACAAAGTCTTTATTTTCTGGTTTTGTCGAAAACACTCAACCAGTCCCTGTAGATTTCATTAATTCCTGTCCAAGTGAATTAGATGGCGTTAAATGCAAGCCATCTGATGTATGGAGTTCTTCAGTTGGAGCGATAAATGAGCTGCAACCTATGGAAAGTGGAGAGCTAAAATACGTAGACACTTCTGGTGTACCTGCTGTGGAAGAGGGACTCAAGGACTTTACAAACCAGATGACTAAAAATGCAGACACGTTGATGGGACCAGTGGAACCTGAAACCGTGTCAACCATTGAATTGACACCTGAGAATACTGCCCCAATATCTGACTCCCTGGATATAGATAGTAATCCGGTATCCAATGTAAAAAGCAGTTTTGATGATTTTCTTGCTCGGGCTAGTGAAACCTTTAGTTCTTCATTAAATAAAGGAGAGAATACTGTGAAAAACTCACTAGATACAATTACTTCATCAATAACATCTGTCAAAAAAAGTGCTTCAGAAGTAGTTGATAATGCTCTTGGTGGGGTGTTTTCATCTGTTGATCAAACGGGAGACTTAGCTGGCAATAAGTTGACGGGTTTTTCAACTAACTTGACAGAAGCCTCAAGCAAAGTAACTGTTGTTGCCATTGATGTGTTGAGACGCACAATTGTTATGTTGGAAGATTCTATAGTAAATGGGGCTTCTTTGGTTGTCTACTATTATGGCACCACTAAGGAAATGCTTCCTCCAGAGATCAGGGATGCTCTTAATTTATCTGAAGAGAGAGCAAGTGAAATCGTGAGACCTGTTGGGTCAGCTTTTCAACAGGTATGTTATGTTCAGGATGCATATCAGTTTCATGGCGTAATATATTTGGATGAATAACAGGGGGGCCTTCTTTTCAGTAAGAAATCTGCATCAGTAGAATCACAATCTGATCTATTGAGTTCTATTGAAAAAATTAATGCTTGGTTGTGAAGGAATATAAATCTCAAATTGTTTGATAGTTGAAGCTTTTTGTTGCTGGTGCCATCAATCATCACTTGTTACATGGAGATACTGTTTGTCAATCATGGGCATTTTGAGCTTGTACTCCATTAAGAGCACTGAATTTCAGTACACTGTGAACAGGTTTCCATTGCTGTTAAGGGATTGGAAAGAAGTATTGGCTTGGATCCGAACGATCCTATTGTTCCATTTGTTCTTTTCCTGGGAAGCTCTGCTACTTTGTGGTATGGATGTCCTTTTGTTTATAGTTGATTTCTTTTAACCATTCACTTCAGAAAACATGAAAAATTTGGCATGTGAAATTTATATCTTCTATCAGATTTGTGCAGGGTTTTTTATTGGGTGTGGACATATAGTGGTTACTCGGGAGATTTATCTCCTAAGTTAACTTTGGAGCTTTTAACAGGAAAGGAGAATGCTGTTCTGATTGATGTCCGGCCTGAGGCAAGATATTGTAAATCTTTCAGGCCTTTTATTTAGTTAAATAAAGAAGTTTATAAGTTTTGATGCTCCATCAAAGAGGCTAAAACAATTAAAATATTCTTATGGTTTTATTCCAATTATACAAGGGGCTTCTGCTGTTTTCAAACTCTTTTCTTCAGATGTATGATTGATTAATAGTTTAGTTCAAAGGCTAAAACTACTTTCTTTTTCTCATTTTTCAAATTTGCTGTGGTGTTGATGTTGGAATTGGATCTTCTGAAGGTTATGAGAGAAAGAGATGGTATTCCTGATCTTAGAAGAGGAGCTCGATATCGCTATGCAAGTGTATATTTACCTGAGGTTGGTTTACACATGACAGTGTTACTTTAAGTTTTTAACGTGGTACTTTTCTTTAAATTTATTTTAAGGATAGAATTGAAACTTCTTGTTTCTTGGAGCTGACTCAAATTGCTAAAAAATGCTTTGTGGAAAAGGGCAATGAACTTCTGGATTTTAGCTCTATCTTTCTTTTTTTTTGCAACTTCATGTCAAGATTCCTAGTCTATATTCAGGTTGATGGCACAGTAAGGAAAGTGTTGAGAGGTGGAAGAGAGCTTGATGACTCCTTAACTGCTGCTGTCATTTCTAACTTGAAAATAGTTCAGGTATGGTAGTTTAATGCTTTTAGATGGCTTATCTCTCAGCAGTTTTTAATTGTTTCAAAGAAAAAAATTTCTGAAGCAAAGGAAGATTTTTGGCTTTGTTCACCAAATTCTTTTCTTGAGCGCTGTTTGCCAATATGGAGAACTGATGGATCTCTCTCATCTCTGGCTCCTGCTTAAAACATAATTTTATGCGCATTACCGCTTTTTTTATTTTTAAGAATCTAAAAGAAAAAGGTAAAATAATAAATCTAGATAGAAGCATATGACGAGCATAATGTGGACATATACAGTAGGTTTGAAACCCCTATATTTACATCACTCAATAACTTTTGTCAAATTTTACGATCTACGAAGCACATTGGTGGATATCAAACTTTGGAAATATTCATTTCAATTGCCAAATTTCAAGTTTATTGGAGATAGAAATATATGGTTGATATTGTAATAACAAAATAAAAGTTCATTTTGCATAGAAATGTGAGTTTATGAATTAGATAGCTGCAAACATCTGATTATTTGCTGTGTATTATGGATGTTAGGAATATTTTTGTTCCAATGATTTGATGAAACATTAAAAATAGCTACAGTGTATTGAGTGGTGTAGGTTCTTTGATCCTCCTCTTATATACATACACATCGTTTTCCTTTCAGCTTTCTCGAGAATGTAGAATGGGCCTTGCTTGTTTGCTATAAAGTCCATGTATATCATGCACTATTGATTAACCTCTTTTGGATATGGAAATGGTGTTTCTAAATATTCTTTTTCTACAACCTGTAGGACAGGTCCAAGGTTATAGTAATGGATGTTGATGGTTCTCGTTCCAAAGGCATTGCAAGATCATTGAGAAAACTTGGAATTAAGGCAAGTTGCTAAACCTTGAGATTTTATGTACAATTGAAAAACACTAAAATGGGACCCAAAAAAAGGAAAGAAAAGGAAAAAAAAAAAAAAAAAAAAGCAAAAGAAATTATATAGTCCATAATATTTCGACAATTTGATATTCTCATGTTCATCTCGCGAGTTAGGGAGCTGGAAGATGGCATAAACAAATTTTTGTTGTCAGAACCATTATAGCCAGATCTTTAGTTAAAATAACTCCTTATAATTTGTACTCTATAGTGTCTAACTTAAGCTTGAAAATGTGAATCCAAATCCATTCAAGGAGGCAATAGATGAAATCTTTATCAGCTTTAGTTGCCCATAGTAAAAGAGCAAGAAGTGTACTTATTTTGCTTGACTAAATTACATATTGAGCTTGTAACTGGAATTCTTGACGCTTAAATACTAGATCAAATTTAAATTCAGATTGCCTAATTAAGGCAATTAAGCTTAAAAAATTATTATATTTCTTGTTATTGAATGTGGTATCCACTGAATCCATTTGCAAACTAAGCTATTTATCATCGAAAACTATAATATTGTCTACTACTAATAGTTTGGTGTTGTTCTTATAACAGAGACCCTACATGGTCCAAGGCGGTTTTCAGTCTTGGATAAAAGAGGGTCTCCGAATTAAGGAGCTGAAAGTTGAGACGGCACTGACCATACTAAATGAGGTATTTATTACACAGGCATTAGTTATTTTTTTTTAATGTTGTTAAAATTTAGAAATGCTCTTACACAACTTGCAAGAGTTATTTTAGATAGGATATATGTTTTTTGCTAATGTGAACCTGGGATTATTTCAGGATGCCGAGGCAATCCTAGAAGATATCAAGCCTTCTCCATTGAAAGTTCTTGGGTTTGGTGTGGTAAGACTCAGTTTAATTGTGTGTTTACCTTAGATTTGTAATTAATTCAATATAATTATTTATCGTGTTTGGTTCATTTTATTCTCTAACTAAAACTATCCTTATAATGACTTCTTAAATGTGATTATTCTTATTCTATGGTTGAGATATGTATTAACATAACTTTAATTCCTGGAAGATCTATCATCTGATTAACTACTCTGTTAATTCTTGGTCATTTGTTGATCAATTCTTTGATGATAGTTATCTGGTTCAAATGCAGTTGCAAATACATAATGGGGAAATAATTACTGGGTTATGGTGTAATTTTTAAGTGTATCTTTCACTAATAAATGCATGTATCTTATTCGCAGGGAGCTGTTGCAGCATTATATGCGCTATTAGGTCTGTATAATTTCTTTCTTCAGATTTGTCAATTATATTCAGGATTGAAAAGAGGTTTGATGGATTGGAATGTTTCCTTATTGAACTTTGGTTTCTACATGTTTACCAATGTGACATGCCATGTCCAACTGCTTTTGGAGCGGTATCGCCTGACCTTTTACAAATTGACTTTCTTTACCATTAGGTCCTGAATTTATAAGTTTGTTCTCTTAACCCTGGAAAGCTGATGGCACTGGGATTGACTACAACTGAAAATAACATGGATGTTGACATGCATCTGTTTCTGTTGCCAACCAACATTTCAAACAATTTTCTTTCCAATTTTTAAATTATGTTGCTTGCATCTGGTTGCTTCATAGATTCTCTAAAAGCAAGATTTGAGCGTGACAGTGATATCTTGTAAATATTTGGAGCATTTTGAAACCATTTTACAGGATGAATAGAAATACTAGGAAGGGAAAGGTTTTCGAGCATGTCTGCACTCGTCAGATGTGCTATAGCTTGTATGCCCGTGTGCACCTGTCTTGACTAACATAATCTAGTAGTTAATTAGTTAAGGAGGCAGCATTCTCCCACATATGTATTTATTGCTTCTTTATGGAGTGGAGGGTTAGATGGGGCACAATCTGCTGTAAGCTTGTATCATCAGTGGGGCTTGCATTTGAAATCATTTTTCAGTTTTCTTTGTGCCCATACTGTGTACCAACTGACCGTAAATAATTTTGTCTCAGAGTGGGAGAAGACATTGCAATTTATTGGTGTTGTTGGCCTCGGTCAGGTATCCAGTCAATTTTTTCTTTTTCTTTTTAATTTTCATTGTTCACTTTACATATCTGGATATAGCATATCCAAGTTTTACTGATTCATTGTCTTCGGGTTCCTGTTCTACCAGACTATTTATCGGCGGGTTGCTTCATACGAGGATGCTAAAGATTTTAGAGAAGATGTCAAGTAATGCCTCCTTCAGATTTTACATTTTAGGACTTGGATTCTGAGCTGTTTTGATAGTATACCTTATAATTGGTTGTGTTAAATTGTTAGTTAATCATATTATCTTCCATTCTTTGAAGGCTGCTGCTAACTCCTGTTAGACTTGGAGGTCAAGCGTTTTCATGGGCTGCCGGAAAAATAGAAACAAACCGCCCTGGACTACCAACATCGCCTTCATCCATAGATGTTCAAAACCGGGTGTTGCAGGCTGCCGCCAAGCATCAATCTCAACCATCTGATACCGATGGAATCCAAGAACCATCTTCTGAACCGGCGGCTCAAATGAACGAGAATGTCTCTGAAGCATAGGGGTGAGTTTTTCAGTTTGAGACCTCAACTTTTACCTCACATCAAAATGTGAGAGCTTGGCTGAGTTGTATTCTGGTTGAATGCAAGTTAACTTGAATGGCTGATCTACAGTAAATAAATAACTCTATTTTGAGACTAACCTTTTGTACAAACCTCATGAATCAATTTTTTATTTTTTACTAGATCAATAAAGCTGAGTTTTGTACATTTCATTAAATCAATGATTCTAGTCATAGCAATACAACATCAGTACACATTTTCTTTGACGGTTAAGCTGTATTGTTGCTGAATGCCTGACAAGTATGATACTAAGTTCTAATTGTAGGCCTTATTATGCCGGGTCATCATACGACATTGTTATGGCATCACGTCGGGATAGTTACTATCATCCGGCGAGGATAAAGTAGTTTTCTTGAAAACTCTCAGTCACCATCCAATGGTGCAAACACATTCAGTATCTAATCCGGTACTACAGAAACTTTTCTATTGTGTTGTCATGCTTGAGGAACTGCCATTACTTACCATTTCCAGGCTTGAGCAGGGGCATCGCATGTAAAACTTATATAAGTAAACTTCTCAAGATTAATTTCTTCCAGTGTTGTTGAAGCAAACGGTGAAAATGTCCTGTTGAGGAAGCTTCAAAATTGAAAATTGGACAAACCTATAGAAATATTACTGAAATCCCATGCAGAGAAGCATATAGTTTCTTCATGTAAATTAAAAAGAGGATCTGAGTAGAAAGGAAAAAATGTCGTACTTAATACATATTCAAGATTTGTAATACAAGTTCAACTTCCGAGCAAGGTATATTTTGCAAGCAGGAAACAGTGTAAAAAAGGGCATTATTTTCAGCTTCATCTATACATACAATTTGTTATGAACAACGATGCAGGCAACAACGTTGATCTGCTGAATATCATTCAACAATCCGAAAGGTTGGAAGGGCCTGTGTTTGAATACAGTTGTGATTGATTTCTGGCGTAAGTGATTGAGATGGTGATTTTCGTTCTTTTGATTACAATTCAATGAAGGGCATTCGAGCTCTGACTGGTTGGAAAAGGGTTTTCTTCCATTTCCAAGAATCGAACTTTCAGGCTGTGGCAACAAAGAGAGTTTATTCCTTCTCTCCAATTATCACAAAAACATCCTTCAGAGACCACCTCATTCTCTCATTTTTAGAAGGTGGATTGATGACAGCTCTTTCAGCATTAGCTAAACGATAACCAATAACAATCTCTCTCCTCTGTCGAGCTCGTACAATTATCTCAAAGAAACTCAATTCCTCGCCTTCACACAGGTAAAGCTCCGCTTGCCTTATTTGCAAATCATTTCCCCGCTAAAACCATAAAGATATTAGTTATTAATAAGAGTAAGATCACTTTTAGTATCATCAAAGGGGAAGAGAACCTTCTCTGCAAACAGCTCTTCTAAGACATCATTTATCCGTCGATCCTCCGCAACCATGGCTAACGCCATGCTGACAAGCTCATTTGACAAAACATAATCACTGATCTTCGACATGGATAATAAATTCTTGGTCCTCGGATCCAGAATCTCAATGATTATCACTGATTTATCAGAAGCCTGCTGCATCTCCTTAATCCAAGAGCCTCTGTGAGCTTGGGTTACCATAGCCTCTCTATATGAAAGATGCTTTGTCTGCAAAGATCAGAAAGATGAAAAGAGAAAAAAAGCTCAATCTCATGGTCAATGATTAATATACCATCAAACATTGTCATATAGGATTGTACTATTTATGATGAAAAATGTTTCCGCAAACAGAATTCTCAGGTGTTATATCAATCTCCTGCATGTGAAGAAGCAGAAAGGCAAAATGGATAGGCTTTGATTAACAGAAGCGAACTATTAAGTTAAGGGGTGGGGGGGCGTAAGATCACTGCAGTAAATAATCCTTAACATAATCATAGGAACTTGTTACTAAATTAATAATATATGCAATCAGACTACTGCAGTTGAAGAAATAACTTGAAAGCATCAAAAGCGCTATCTACTAAAATTTCCCTCACGGCTATAATCCAAGTTACCTGAATATCACGAATCAGAAGCAACGTGGCAAGAGATCTGGAATCTGCTTGAATGGCTGAATCTTCAGCTGACTCATTGGCCAAAACCAGAATCTGTGAAACAAGATGCCATATTGAAATATATTTAGTCTAACAAGTGAAAAGATCACACACATACCCTCCACATGCCTCCCACTTCAAAATTAACTTAAAATTGAGTTCTAAAGTATATGACAAAGTTCCTGAAAGCCCGCCAGTTGGAGACTGGAGAGTCACATATCATGTGAGCACTTACCTACAGGAGATCTGCTAAATAGTGCTCATGTTTTGCATCATTTCATACTATTCATGACTACTATCAATTATATTTTCCTCCTACCAGATTTAATACTCATAAATAGACCTGCAATAGTGCTACTCACCGAATCAAAAGACTCCAAAGGTAAGCTTTCCAAGTGACGCCGTATAACAGCATTCCCCTCACAATTAACCAGTGTTATATTCGCCAACCTGCTGAGATCTAGACCACCATCAATAAGCTTCTTTTTCCTATCATTTTCAGGTACCTCATTGAACATCCAAAGTTCTGAACCAGGCGCTAGGAAGGCATCTAACACCTAAAACAACATAAATGAGTAAACAATACCATTTCATTGTGTATACAAAATTGAGTTATCTGTTTTGCACCTAAATAGATGAAGAAAGTGCGAGTTCCAGAATATTTGAAGACTTATTGCCAGTTAGAGCAAAATTGAGAAATGGCAGACAGATTCCAAAGTACCACCGACTTTGTCTCCATTCAAGATTGCACCCCAGAAGTCTTGGGAGCAAGACTGAAAATTCCAAAAACTTACCATAATTAATCTCCATATCTCTTCGCAGCCACAGAAAAGTATCCTTTTTGTAGATTGTGGAACACGGAGTCTTTGGGCAGTATCCCCTCCTTACCTGCAGCATTCAGGGATAAAAAAAAAAAAGAAAGAATTAGGGGCTACAACAGAGAACTCTCCACAATCATATCATCAATGTCCCTCCTCCATCCACAAAGTAGAATATTCTGTAGCTTTCTTTCTGGTCGAGTAATATGTATAAATTATGCTCTTTGACCTGAATGATCAAATTGATTATACTTATTAAGTTTTATATTATGGTATGCCCCACTTAGTTAATTCTGGTCATGGAAGGCATCTTCTAGCCAGCAAAAACTATATCTTTCTGAATATGAATGATCGCCCTAATCGTGATTCACTGTTGTCTTGCTCCTTTCCTCTTCTTCTTCTTTAGCAAACTTCAATAATAAAGCCATATTTCTAATTACTGAAATATGCACACATGTACAAACTAGATGACCGAAGGAGAGAGAAAAAGGAAGTAGGAAAGCGGCAAATTAGATTGATAACTATTCCAACTTGTACAATTTTTTAGTCAGGATATAGCTTTGGCTATCAAATCAATGGCCCAACCATCCACAGCATCTAGATGAAAGGACCCAAGATTGTACCATTTAAATTTAGACACTGTCTGTCTGCATATTCACGCTGATTGAATTAATTAAGACTAAATCATTTCTATCATACAAAAGAGGAAATATCTGTCACAACCTTTAACTGCATCTGCTTCTGATTTGAATTACAAAACCAAAATAAATCACCATCTCAATGCATATATGATTGCTTCAGACAAGGCAAATATAAATAACAAGTTAAAAACAATGTTGACAACTAAATCAATTCCATTCATACATTACTTGCCAATCACAAAAAAGTTTTCTTTCTTGCATTTATTATCGTTTTCTTTCATCCTTCCATGTACTTATGAAGTCTGATTTAGGTAAAGTGTGAGTCAAACCCCCATCTGCACGTACCATGTTAGACCTTGCATTAATGGAAAATAAGCTAGCATATATAGACAAAGCAATTTATTTAAAACTTTATTTTCTGAAGGAAAATGAAAGCACCATAGGCAATGCTGCTGGAGCATAGCTGTCATCATCTACAGCAATGACAAAAACTTCATCACCTTCTTCCAGCATGTTGGTCATCAGGATTCAGGATAACCTTACCACCCCGGGATGCAACCTTGACTCCACAAGGCATAGCATCAGAAACTGATCAATACATCCTCAAATGACATGCCATCCAACATCGGCCATCTTTTTTTGTAGAACTTACATTTTCAGACCCAGAATATCTTCCCAGATCTGTCACAGCCAGTCCATGGGAAAAAAATAACTGAATGAAAATTTACATAACTAACTGTAATAAGCACTAAAAGAATGAACAATGAAAATTAATTTTTACATTGTCATTAAGACAATGCCACCAAACTAAAAAGAAGACTATAGTATCTAAAATTAAAAAATCAACCTGTGCAAGTCCACGCTGCCGAGCACATTGAATCATCAAGCGCCTGATGACATTAGAGCTACAACAGTTTCAACACGATCTCCTCCACAGTTTAACGAGGACCTCATTGTCTAGATCACTTAGTTCTACAACAATGTGCCCTCTCAACTTTTCTTTTACTCCTGTTAGACTTAAGACTGTTCTTAGTGCTGACATCACTCTGTAAGACCATGATGAGTTAACAGTGATCAATTTATGCAATATCAAAGATGAGGCACATTCAATATCTTCACAAGTCAGACCTGATCAGCATCCATCTTCAGCAAGGACAATTATGGCACGGGCCTTGGAAACAGATACCTGATATAAACTTTCCAATTAGCACAACAATACAGATGCAAATGTATAAGAGATATGGTTTTCAGCAATGTATCGTCATCCATTATAAATTAATAAATTAATTGTTCCAGGTTAATGAATGCAAATGCCAGCCACAACTGCTAGAGGAACCAGACTTGACTCAGAAGTCAAAATTAGCTGCAAAATCCAAGTCCTGGCAAACCCTTTTCTCCTTATTCAGTTTTATTTTTTTTTAAACGGCTTCTGAGACAATCATAAACAGTGTCCACCAATAAACGGCATCTTCTTAGAAAAGTTGAGACCAGATTTTAAAAATCATTAAAAGGAAAAGACTTGTTAATAAAGCACAAGAAGTAAAAATAAGTTTCTTCTTAAAAAGTAAAAATAATTTTCGTATAAAAAATATATATTTTAATAATATTGAAGGGAAAGTTATCAGAATAACTGAGTGACGACTCCGCAACAGCCCCCATTTCCTACATAATTTG